AGAGTTAAGCACCATGAAGACAGGGGCTTCTGTCTGCTCTGTTCACTGCTGTACACCAAGCACTTGGAACAGAACTTAGAATACAAGGGTAAAACATGCTCAATAAATGAGCATTTTCAGTGAAGAATGTACTTCAAGAGGTGTGTTTGAATTCTAGGCAGGAAGAGGAAAAATGGGTGTTCAGGAAAAGCAAAAACATTTCCAGAAACCCCGAGCTGACTTCCATTTACATCTCCTTGGCCAAAACCATGCCCTGTGGGTGTCATCGCTGCACAGAGTCTGGGAATATGAGTATTTTCAGTTAGGTGCACTGCCCTCCTTGAACAAAATTATTGTATAAGAAGAAGGGAAGAATGAATATTGGAAAGGCAAACTGCAGTGTCCACCACATAGATCTATCCTAGATATAATAAGGCAAAACCTCTGAGGTTGGTAATTTTAGTGCAGGTTATAAGAAAAATGGCCAGGAAAAAAAAAGAAAAAGATGATCCCAGAGCAAATTTTTCTTAAGCCATTCTGTGTGATGGATACACTAGTTGTGAACATCTGTTTTGTTGACTGACTGGAGCACACTCCACCCCTACTGCTACCCCTGCCAACATTTTTGAGGAATATATTTCTACCATCATCACCCCGTGTACGTACGTGTGGTTACAGAAGTAGGACTCTTGGAGGTCACGTTCATATATCATGCTCCCATCCATCGGACCCAAACCACTGAATTGGAATCACATTCCCAGCAAGTTGGCACTGGGACTTCTAAGTCTCTCCGAATGACTGAGTCATGTAAACACAGCTGTTGGCAGATGTATTTTCTAAGTCACGGACTGGAGCAGCTGAGGACAGATCATGAACCTCACACAGACAGAAGTGCAGTGAGATAAAGAGGGTCCTTGTGGGGTCTGAGTCCCTGGTACTAGGTTGGTCCTGAGAATGTAGCCTGTCCTTGCCCTTGAGGGTCCACAGCATGCTTCTGAGTGTCCTTATTTTGTTCAAGCCAGCTTAAGTGAATCTTTAGTAGTGGCAAAGTTCTAATTAACACACATTCAGCCTTAGGCAACTGAAAACAGAAAGAAGTGACTCTGTGGAGATCAGGTGCCCAGCCACAGAGGAAGAAGAGAAACCTGGCACTTGCCTTATCAACAACAAAGCTGTCTACAAGAGACCCGAGCCAAGGGTAAGCTTCTGCCCTCTGGCTGTTTCATTGGAATTCTGGCTCAGCCACTCAAGTGAGCCCACAGCTAATAGGAGGAATGAGTGGCTTTAAAATAGGATCTCAAGGCTAAGGGTCTGGAAATTTGGTTTATTCCCAGCACTCTTCCCTTTTATCCCAGGCTTGCACTACTTGTAGAACATGTAGGGTGCCTATCAGTTCCAAGGTGCAGATGGGCTAGTGAGATGAGGCACAGAATCAAAAATTACAGGCTTCACAGCCTCATCACTAAGCCCACATCTTTAGCCAAGTTAGTTAATTTCCCTATATCTCATCTGTAAACTAGGGACAATAACTCCTACCTGGGAGAACTATAGGTGTATAAAGATTGGGCTTCCCAGGTGGCACTAGTGGTAAAGAATCTGCTTGTCAATGCATGAGACATAAGAGACGCTGATTCGATCCCTGGGTCAGGAAGAGCCTTTGGAAGAGGGCATGGCAACCCGCTCCAGTATTCTTGCCTGGAGAATGCCTTGGATAGATGAGCTTGGCAAGCTATAGTCCATACCCCTTGGACAGAGGAGCTTGGGGGGATACAGTCCATAGGGTCACAAAGAGTCAGACACTACTGAAGCAACTTAGCATGATAGCAAATTACTGATACCTAAAAATACTTGACCAATTCCTAAAGCAGCAGAGCCCTGGAACCCTCTTAGATCTCAGGGATGGAGCCCAGTGCAAAGGAAGGAGGCCCCTCCAGGAAACCATCAGTGTGACCATTTTATATTTTTTTGCTGTGCCACGGGGCCTGTGGGAGCTTGGTTCCCTGACCAGCCATCTAACCTGGGCCCCACCACTGGACTGCCAGGCAAATCCCTGGGCTTCACATTTTTTTAGCAGCAACTACTTCTCATTTCCTGTAAGACTGCCACACTACAGGGAGCCAGCAGATGAACTCAGAGGGAGGAAAAGAGGCCCTGGGAAGACAGGGTAAGGGAGAGCTAGCTTTTCATTATTTTAATTCAGTACCACCATGTGCCAGGCATATGGATGTGCTTTTCCCACACTATTGCCCGTTTTCATCTCTCTTGGCTGATAGAGAAACAGAAGGGGCAGAGCTGTGAAATGATACTGACAGCTAATGTGGACAGCATCTAGGCAGTTCTGAAATCTGCTCATAGCTCGAAACTAACTGGGAGGGGACTGCTAGCCTAGAACACGAACACCTGCTGCCATAACTCAGGCACAGGCTTCAGCCTAGAGCCCGAGCCCTGCCCCTTTGGCCCCACTGCTCAGATGGAGCCCCTGTTATGAAGTAGCCAGTGTTTCCAGGTGCTGATCACTCCTGCTGTGCTCCAAATACTCTTGAACCCCTCTTGGAAAAAAACAAGGAAGAGAAAGACGGGAGGCCATAAAGAAGAAACACAGAGAGAGTCAAAGGGAAGAGAAGGCAGGCAACCAACTTTGTAACGATACTCATTCCTTTATTATCGACTGTGTTAATTTGAACAGGGCTGGGGCCTGCAGGCTGCTGGCAGCATTGAGCTGCAGGTGCATTTCAGCTTGACAGAGAGATCTCATCCTAAGCCAAGGAGACAGAGGGTAATGTTTTATATATATATTTATATATTACATATGTCCTGTATCGTCAACTGTATAGAGTGAAAAGAACAGGCCACTGCATTGTTAATCGCTGTCCTAAATAAAGACCATAGCAACAGACATGGAAATTTGGTCCTAATCAAGGCCCTTACTTTGTCAACCAAGTGTTGGATACATCAAAAGGAAAAGAAGAGAAAGAGAGATGGAGAGACTGAGATCCAGCCACCCCGGTGGCCCTGTTCCCAGCATATCTTACACGGAGTGTAAAGTGTCCCCTGTGGAGGTAAACACACACACACATAAACACGCGCACACACACACACATACACAAAACTGCAGGCAGGAGCTCCTCCTCTGACCACACCTCGGGCCCAGCCCTCCGACTGGGGGTGGGGAAGTTGGGTACATTGTGCTATAAGACTGTGAGGGTCAAGTGAGCAGACAATGCAGAGTCGATGTGTCCAAGTGATGAATAAGGGTAACACATGAGGCTTCATCCACAAACAAGAAAGAGGTCAGTGGGAGAGGCTGCCCAACGCAGGCCTGGAGGTCCCTCTGTGCCCAGGCCACCTGGAAAATTTCTACACGCCACTCCTGTCCTAGCCATAGCAGAATCTCTGATCTGAATCCTGAGTCTCAAACCATCTTCTGGGCTCTGATGAAAAATGTTGTTTCCTTGAAGGACAGGCGCCAGTGGAAAACGAATGGCCCAACCACCTGGTGTCATAGTTACAGCAGCAATGATAGCATCATTGAAGTAAACCAAACCACAGGTTGGTCCTCAGGGCAGAAATTGAGCTGTGTGCAAGAAGGGTTCATTTCCTGCTGGAAAGAGAATAACCAAGTAGTCACTCCCCACCGCCACCTCTCACACACCAAATTTCAGGCAGCCCTGTCAGTTGCATGCCTTTCCCTAGTGACTAAACTCCTCATATTCTAGTGACTGGAGACTCCATATTAGGTTGTTTTGCAGTCCCAAAGTATGTGTTTTCATTCATGACTACCTCTTCACTCTTCCACCAAAATATACACTTAAAAGGTAAGTCAATGAAAATTAATCTTTCTTTTTGGTAGAAATTCACCCGAGATACCCAGAGGCATCTTGGGATGTCACAAAGGGAAGTGAGAGGATTTCCTTAGGGACCAATTTGTACAATGCTGAAGGGTCAGTCTTGTCAACAAAACAGTGCCCAACAAATGTGATTCAGGAACAGGGGTAATGGGCAGAGTTGGCAGGTTGTGCCTGTGTCTCCATCTCCTGTGCTCCATGAGCGGGGAGAAGCATCAGATTCCGGTACCTTTGTTTAGCCAGAGAGAGGACACTGATCCTCCCACTAGTAGCGGGGATACAGGCAGCTGCAGGGAATGATGAGGGCTGGAAGAAGTAGCATCTCAAAGATGGAGAGTTGGCCTGATTCCTTGTCGGCCAAAGTGACTTCTCAGAGGGAATGGAAACAAATGGACGTCCCTTGATGACTGTCCACACTGTCTCCATTACTGTCCCATGTCCCGGAGGTCCCGAGGAGGCAGCGACTGGTCGGTTCACAGTTCCCTTCCCCGAGTGGGTAAGGTGGGCAGGAAGCAGTTCGGGAAGCCATGAGTTCTTGTCAAAGCTGAAAAGCATGGGCTGTGCGGATGGGGTCACTGGAGTCCTTGATAAGGAGCCCGAGAAGCGGAGAGAGGCTGTTTGAAGCCCGGAAAGCAGAGAGTGGGGCTCTCCCTCCGCTGGGAGCACACGCTCACCATCAGCAGGATGGATGTCTCCTGTCTTCAGCACACATCTTGTATTTCTGTAGTCCCAGAAAGCGCTTAGCAGCTGCTCACCGGCAGCACAGGAGGAGATGGGAGATTCCGGGACAAGCCAGGTAGAAAAAAATACACACAGGCACCTGCGTCTTCCCTTCTGGGCGCAATTGACTAGAAGGAGAGTGAGGTCTGACTGGCGCAGCGGGGTCTAAAGTCAAGAGGAGGAGGAGGCTGGGCGGTGAGCACGGCAGGGTCAGGCGAGGGCTCCTTTCCCACACGAACCGAGTTCCACGAATAAATAACATTAATTAAATAAAGGAGGCCAAGAGCCAGCAGAGGCACGCCTGCCGGGGTCCCCCACCAACATACGCACTCGCACATGCGCCCACACACGCACACGCACGCACGCACACCGAGCGGCAGCGAGATGAGCCAGGGTTGGCCACCCTGTCCCTGGGGGTCTGGGCGGGGGGGACGGGGCAAGCCCGACGGAAGGTTGTCACTCGTGGTCAAGCACTGTCGTGGGACGCAGAGCAGCAGAGGCGGCCAGCGAGGCGTGTGCGGTGGGAGGTGGAGGCCGCTGAGGACTCTGGCACCTGCAGGGGTGCGGATGAGGTTGGGGGGTTGGGGGTGCAGGAAACAGAAAGAAGTGAGAACTTTTCTTTGCCTCATCCTGTCGCTGTAGGAACTCAGCCCCCGCAGCCCCAATTATCAGTCTCCCTTCAAGCCCTTTGGGTACAACCACAACCCTCCTCAACGTCCACCAGCCCCCCGCACTGTGGTTTCCGCGCTAAATCCATTGCTCACTCTGACCGTGATAGTACTGACCAGGATCTGGACTTCCGGACTTTAGACGTTGAAGGTCTTTCCAGAAAGCTGTCCAACCGCATGAGCCTCTCCATGTGTAGTGCACGGGGGTCTTGGTCTTGGTCATGAGAGAATTCCATCTCAAAGACCGCTGGCGGGGACACATCCAACTCCAGAAACATGATGTTCTCAGCCTGTGGTGGGAATATCAGGCCAGAGGTGAGCACTAGTCCTGATTGCCAGCATCTTCTGGCACTCGGGGAGATAATGGGAGTAGCAAGGTAACGAGGCAGGTAGAGGAAGCAGAGGTTGCAAGCATCCACCCACCCTTTCTATTTCCCAGCTGCTTACCCTGTACCTGGGGTGGGACCCCATTGCCATGGCAACCCGAGCATACTGGCTGATCGGCCTCTTGTAGCCCACTGCAGACGTTGGCCGCTTCTTCATTTGGCTGCTATTGCTGTAGGGAAGAGGCTATATTTTAAATGAGTTTCCTCTGAACACAAAGGGAGAGTGATATCATGAAGGATTACATATCATTCAGGTAGTCAGGAGGCCGCACAGACTGCCAGTTCTGGAATTTGCTTCTCTTTGCTGTAATACTATCTGACGACTCAAGCGAGTAATAACACAAAAACACATTCATCACTCTTGTTGCTTCAATTTTTTTCCACAGTGAAAAGGTCTGACTGAACACTGGAATGAAGAAAGGCAATCCAATCTTATTTTAGCTGTCAGACTCACAGACTGACTTCACATACTACACAAAACCATTAATCAGTGGTTCTGCTTTTCATTTTCTTTCATAGGTTTTAACACAATAAAATGATTAGAAACTCAAGCGTGAAATGCAAGAGTTCCAAAATAGCCAAAACAATCTTGAAAAAGAACAAAGGGAGAAGAATCACATTTTTCCAGTTTCAAAACTTAGTGGTTTAATCGCTAAGTTGTGTCCAACTCTTTTGCAACCCCATGGACTGTAGCCTGCCAGGTTCCTCTGTCCATGGGATTCTCCAGGCAAAAATACTGGAGTGGGCTGTCATTTCCTTCTCCAGGGGATCTTCCTGACACAGGGATCGAACCCAGGTCTCCTGGGTTCTTTAGGTTCTTAGGTTCTCTTAGGAACTCTTAGGTTCTCTCCAGATTCTTTACCAACTGAGCTATAAGGTAAACCCCTCAGAACTTATTACAACATTGTAATTCAACTATACATCAATAAAAAAATTAAAAATTTATTACAAAGTTACAGTAATCAAGGCTGTGTGATACTGGCATAAGGAAAGACATAAGGATCAATGGAACAGAATTAAGAATCTAAAAATAAACCCTTATATTTATTACAAGCAACTGATTCCCTATAAGGGTACCAAGACTACTCAATGGAGCATGAACAGTCTCTTCAGCAAATGGCACAGGTACAGTTGGATAGCCACACACAAAATAATGAAGTTGGATTCTTCCCTTGTACTATATATAAAAAACTAACTTAAAAATTAATCATAGACTTCAATGTAAGTGCTAAACCTATAAGACTCTTAGGTAAAACAAAGGAGTAAATCTTCATGACCTAATAAAATGGGAGAAATTATCTGCAAATCATTCATACGATACATGAGTTGTATTTAGAATCTAAAAATAACTCTTATAAATCAACAATAAAAAGACAAATAATCCACTTTAAAAGTGAACAAAGGATTTGGATAGCCATTTCTTCAAGGAAAATATATAATGGCCAATAAGCACATGAAAAGATGCTCAACACTATTAGTTATTATGAAAATGCAAACCAAACGCACAGTGAGATACCACTTCATGATATCTCATTGGTTACTAAGTTAACTATAATCCTGGAAGACAGATAATAACACGTTGGTGAAGATACAGAGAAATTGGACCCTCCAGGCATTGTTGGTGGGAAAATAAAATGATGCAGCCTCTTTGCAAACAGTACAGCGATTCTTCAAAAAGTTAAACATAGAGTTACCATATGACCTGGTGCTTCCATTACTAGAGGTACATAGTCAAGAAAACTGAAGACATATGCCCTACAAAAACTTGTACATGAAAGTTCCAAGAAGAATTATTCATAACAGCCAAAAAGTAGAAATAACCCAAATGGCTATTTATTTACAAAAAATAAACAAAATGTGGAATATCATAGAATGGAATATTATTCAGCAACAAAAAGGAATGAAGGACTGATGCATGCTACAACGTAGAAGAACCTTGAAAACATTTTGCCAAGTGAAAGACAGTAGATATAAAAGACCACATGTTGTATGATTCCATTTATATGAACTATCTGGAATAGGCAAGTCCATAGAGACAGAAAGTGGACAGACTGGTGGTTTTCTAGGGATGGGGACACTGGGGAGCTAATGGGTTTGAGGTTTCTTTTCGGAGTGATGAAAATGTTCTGGAATTAGACAATGGTGTTGTTATATAACTGTGAATATACTAAAATCCACTGAATAATATACTTTAAAATGGTAAACTTTATGTATGGGTTATATCTCAATAAAGCTATTACTTATAAAACAAACAAAACTCAGGCTTGGCTTTTAAAACATGCATATTCTTTGACCCAAATTCCCATTCCTAGGAATCTCCCTAAGGAAATAATCAGAGATGGGGACAAAAATTGGGGATGTTTGCTGCAATATTATTTACAAGTGCAAACAATTAGAAACAAACAAAATGTGCACCAGAATGGACAAGTTAAATTATTATTCAGTCATGTGAAGGAATATTATGCAGTTACATTGTTTTTGGCTTTATGTAACCATGAAAAGATTTCTACAACATATTAAGTAAAAAAGCAAATAAAAAGATGAAATTTGTTTCGATCTTAAAGAAGTGTGTATACATGTGTGGATGCTTAGAAAGAAGTTTGGATATTCAATGAAATGTTAATAGTAATTATCTTTGGATGGTTTTACAATTTTTAAAATGTACGTGTATAAGTTAATATCTAGTAAGTTATTTCAAATACTCAGAAAACCACAGAAAATAATATATATCTGTTTACATACCATTCAGTTTTGCTAAATCTTAACATTTTGTTATACTTAACACCAAATCTTTTTTGAGAAGTAAAATGTAGGCACAGTTTTTAAGACTTTCCTTCAAAAAAAAAAAAAAAGATTTTCCTTCTCCAGAATTAATCCCTCTCTTGAGTTTGGTGATTATTAATGTCAGGCATGTTTTTGTATTTATTTATATATGTATATGTTCATAAACAATATATAGTATTATATGCCTATTTCTAAATTTTGTACTGTATAGTACAGATACATTTTTTGTGTGCCCAAACATGTGTTTTATATTTATCCATGCTGCTCTAGATTAGATGATTACAGTTTAACTATATTGATTGTCTTAAGGTTTCAATATAGCATTTTATGTTTTTTATATATCCTCTTGTTGATGGACATCTAGGTCAATTCCTTTTTCTCTCTCCCTTTCTATCTAACACAGTGCTGTTGTAAAGATTTCTGTATGTATAGGTATCTTTAAGTATATATTCAACAGTTTCTTTGGGGTATATATCAAGGAATGGAATGGTTCCAACGTACATCTTCAGTTTTACTAAATATTGCCAAAGTGGCTACATACCTACAAGAAAGTTCCCATTGCTTTATATTCTGGCCAACACATAGTATGTTAAGACTTTTTACTCTCAGCAACTTAATGAGTATGAGGTATTTGATTATTCAAAACAAATAAAAATAGGAAAGAAAACAATAGTTATTTCCACTAAAAAATTAACAGGGTTTAGAGTCAGGCAGATCCAAGTCTGAATGTTGGCTCTGCCCCTTAGGTTTTGTTACCTTGGGAAGCAGCTTATTATCTCTGAGCTTCAGATATCTCATCACCATCCTACAGAACTGCTGAGATTAACAAGAGAAGCACGGAGCACAGTACACTGCAAGCGTTCAACACACGGCAGCTGTGATGATTATTTATTCTCAGCTCCACTTGCTAATTTCAAACAGGGATACAAACAAGCAATGAAAAAAGCCAAAAGGCAGACAGAAGACAGAAGAGAAGAAACAGGCTGAGTAACTCAGAGATAGGACATTCTGTCCTTGACTAGAACAAGCCGTGCAGGACCTGACAGAACAAGGCCAGCCTTCTGCCACAGCAAGTAGTGAAAAACCAGTCTCAGGTTTTATATAAAAGAATGCTGGGCTCCACTTGGGGTTCCCACCAACCCCTCTTCATAGATGAAAGGGAAGGAAGGAGGAAGCTGTAGAAGCCCCAGCTTGCTCTGCTGCTGTGGACCCTCTAAGAGGTGGGGAGGCGGCTTTTGGTGGAGAGGAGCAGAAAAATCAGTAAAATAATAGCTTATCATTTATAAGGTGTATCTCTGCATCTCATTCAAACTTTACAACAACCTCCTGAGGAATAGCTTATCATTTATAAGGTGTATCTCTGCATCTCATTCAAACTTTACAACAACCTCCTGAGGTTCAGACGGGTCAGACAAGGAAACTGAGGCTCAGAAAAGTGAAATGCCTTGTGCGCCCAAGGTCATACAACTAGGAAGAGACTGGAAACTGAACCTTCCCAAATACTCCTTTTAGGATGCCATGCTGTCTTTCAGGAGCACACACAGAACTGTCTGGGCCTCAGCGTGCCTTGAAGGCTGCAGGCTCTGGGAACGGGACAAGTGAACAGGGCTGGACGAGCAGAGCCGTGGATCAGTGTGAATTGGCAGCCTGACCCACTAAAGATGCCAGGGCTATTCTGGGTGGCAGGAGGGAAGAAGGGGGTGGGGGAGGGGAGTCTGTAATTGGGACACCAAATTTCCCATCTCCTCTCTCTCTGCCCCAGGCCTACTTTCCATGATTGATCCCTGTGTAGTAAGCAGGTTGTGGCTGACAGCCCAGAATGGAGGCCTGGCTCTGGAGTATCCACCCCTCCCGAAAGAAAGCCACAGCAGTTTTCCTGTGCTTAGTAGATCCTCAGAGTTCTCTTAGGACCCTTTCTCCACACAGCTTCTATCACAAGATTATATATATTCTCCCCTTAATATTAAAAAATCAGTCCCATCTCAGAGGCTGATCCCAATCTCATTGCCAGCTGTCTGCTCACCATACCTTTCTTCTGTTCTGAAAACCAGCAGGCAACATCATAGGGTGTGTTTTCTTTTTCCACATCCTTTACAAGCACCCACCACAGCAAATCTGACTTTTCTCCATGATCGATCAGGTCCCCCCGTCCCTATGGGTCAGCAGTCCACCTTGCAGCATCCCTTGGCACATATGAACTCCCCCCGCCCCCTTCCCACGGCTCCTCCGTATGGCTCACCGCCTGCCTGGGAAGGCAAAAACTTCTCCTTGTTTCAGATTCTTTTTCAGTCTTCACAGGCCTGGGAACAAATCTAGGGACTCAACCCAGAGCTGAGGTAAACTTTGCCTCTGTATCTGAACCAGCTTAACCTTCTATCCTTATTCTGTTTAGAGCAAGAAATGCTCTCTCTAAACTTGGAGGCAGCCCGATTTAAAAATCAAAATCTAAAACAAAAGCAACAAATCAAACTGTCCTATGGCACTTGTAAGGGATGATGACAAATTGGTTTCTCTGGAGTCCCCAAAATCATCATGTTGGCTTATTGGTATGACAGCAACCATTTATGGACCATCTCCTCTGTGAGAAGTAGTGGCCTAGAACATCCCCCCACCTCCCCAACACACAGACACATGCGCATTATTTCATTTCAATCTTGACAGTCCTGCAGGGATTTTTGTTACATTATCCCGACTTTGCAGGTGAAGAAACTTGGGTTCAGAGAAATTAAAAAACCCTCTCAAGGCAGAGCAGGGACCAGAGTTCCGAATGTTCTACATCCCAAATCCAGTCTCTTTCTACCACACCATGATGCTCTGAAAAGAATCTAGGGTGGCCAGGAATGCAAAGAACAAAGGACTAACGTTACAAATAGAATTTTTGAACTGCTAACCATGGGCTATAGCTGCCAAATATAACTGCCAAATATACAACCCTTAGAAGACAGTTGTGTATAAATACAATTAAAAATAAAGTCTATTATGAGAAGCCAAACATAAAAGGTCCTACTTGTAAAACTGTGATGGTTGAAGGTGGCTGCGAAGATTTTTTTCCAAAGTAACTTCAACCAAAATTATTTGTGATTATGGAACAGACCTCACCTGAAGTTACCGTGTATCAGAGAGAGACAGTGGAGAAAAAAGAACACGGGACAGACTTCCAAAATAAGTTGACATGAGTGTGTTTCAAGAGCTCCCCGACAATAACTCCTTGTTTTAGAAAGAAGAGCGGGTTAGAGTGTGGGGGTAAATGCCTGCAACTAGAAGAGAGCAAATGTTTTTTCTAGCAAAAGCTTTCTAGAGGGACAGCATGACTTTAGATAATTTCTTTCCAACAATGCTTTTGTCCTCTCATTTTGAGCAGCCTTCAGTGTCTCATCCCCAGACCACCACAGGCCAAAGTGAAGCAGAATACTCCACAGGTGAATTGAGCAAAGGAGACAATGCCTTCATTAGTTAAATATGTTTTGGGACAGAAGAGGTTTTCAGCCCCGATCAAGTTATACTGCAAACAGTGGGACCCAGTCCTCCCAGAGAGGCAGCTTGTTCTACAGTCTCAGGCCCCAGAGCTCCCCGAAATGGGGGAAGCTGCATCCAAGGCCCTCCCCCTCTGTCTGTGAAAGGAGGGGCTTGGGGCACAGACCCAGGCCAGTGACTCTGACACCAGCATGCTAACCCTGAGGCTCTCTGTGCTGAGTCATTATCTCCCTCGGGAATTCCAATTAGGAGCAAAGTGTTTTTACTTTATTTTAACCACCAACTGCTGCGGAAAAAAATTGCTTTCATAAAAATCTTCCTAGAACTGTTAATACTTCTCTGTTGTATTTCTGTGGTTTTTTAAAAGTTCTGACATAAATATTATTTATTGCAGTTACCAGACAATGGACAGGTGACATTAAAAAAGAAAATAATTTGGAGCAGTAATTCAGAATAGCATGTAGTTGACTACCTGGTATTTATTAATAAGTCTTTTTGAAGTAATTTATTTATTGGAATTTTTTTCTTAAAGAAATCTATAATACCTGTTTATATCAACCGTATTTAAGTACAGTGGAGAACACTGGGATGTCACAATTGCCTTAATACCTTTTACCCTCACCCAGATTATTTTCTACACAAAATATATACTCTGCATTCCAAAGAGGTACATACAGATTCTGTATGAAATAGCATGGTTAAGTTGTGAATATACTTAACCATAACTTTGAAAAAGCTTGTGAAAAGTATTTATATGTTTACAATTTTAATATAAAATTTTATGGGAACACAGTCCATTTGGGATCCAATCAGAAAGCTGCTAATGGAGACATACAAATGTGGGCTGGTGAACAACTGTATGCAGACATACATACAACAGGGTATGTATGTCGAGGTTGTTCTTCCCAAAAAGTTATGGAAATGAAAACACTACAGAGTAAGCTAAAGCAAGCAGCTTTTGAGGAATGAGCCAAATTTTTAGGCTTCCCAAAGACAAAGAAAACACTGAATCTTTCTCTCTTTGCCTTACTAGGCAGGACAGGGAATAATTCAACAGTAAGCAAAGATACCAACTGGAGGACTTCTATTTTACAAGCTGTTACTTGTATCTACTCTAAAAATTGTTTAACATGTCCTATTTTAAGATAGCTGTTTTAATTTTTTTGTCTGTGTATGGTTTTTCAGTGTATGCAAACCATTTTATTTTTGCAAAAAAAAAGAGAAGTTATTTTAAAAGTTTTAAAAAATTTTAGTTATTTGAGTAAAAGGAAGAAAGTAAACTTAAAAAAAATAGAATAAAGAATGGAAATTCATAAACATTAAGCAGAAAGTGTATTTTAGCTGCAGGCAAAGTACCACCATGCTTTGAAGTCTGGATTGTGTGCTTAGGCAGTCAAGTAAAAATTGCAGGGCCAATGTTTTGAGAAACGAATAAACTCCTCTGAAGCATGAAATTTTCAAAACTCAAATCAAGATCCCTTTTCAGTTCCAGATTAAAGGAAGAGGCATGATGATTAAATGCAATGCACCATCACAGGTGGCCTGGTGCAGGTGGGGAAGAATTGCCTTAATGGATATTATTGAGCTAACTGGCTAAAATTGAATATTGCTTGTGTATTCGTCTGGTGTCAATACAGAATTTCCTGAATCTGATCACTGTACTGTGGTTATGTAAGAGAATGTCCTCATTCAACTTAGGAAATACTGGTAAAGGGTTGACTGTCTGCAACTTAATCTCAAATTGTTGGGGGCAAGGGATTAATCAAGCAAGATGTGGCAAGATGCTAACAACTGGGGAGTTTTGGTGAAAGGCACACAGGAATTCTCTGTATTATTCTTGGTTTTCAAAATTAAAAATTCAAATATAAATAAACTATACCCCAATATAATTTTTTTAAAATAAAGTTAGCCAGTAAAGCAAAAAATAAATTAAAAAATGCCTTCTCAGAGCTTCCCTCATCCATCTCTGTCTAATATAAAGAAATTCCTCTACCTACAAACTTTCAGTTCAAGAACCTTGTAAGCACAAAATAACCTTACAAAGCAGAAGCCTCACCAGCATCTTCCTCCAGTAGATGGCAATGGAACAGTAGTTTCTGAACCTAGCCTCCCAGTAGAATCAGCTGGAGGCTTTGAAAAAACAATTTTTTTAAAAAAGTCCTGGGATCCACCCACAAGACCCCTCAAATCAGATTCTCTGGAGCCCAGCTCAGAGGTGATTCTAGATGCAGCCAGGGTGGAGAATGTCTGCAATAAATGATATACTACTACAGGTCTCCACTTAAGATTGGAAAGGTAGATTTTAAATCCAAACTGACAAAACAAAAAAAATCCAAACTGACACCATTGAAAAGTCCTTTACTCATGAACTGGCTGCTTACAAACTTACACAGAGGGTTTGTATGTCAAGATTGGTTCTTCCCAAAGAGTCATGGAAATGAAAACATTGCAGAGTAAGCTAAAGCAAGCAGCTTTTGAGGAATGAGCCAAATTTTTAGGCTTCCCAATGACAAAGAAAACACTGAATCTTTCTCTTTGCCTTACTAGGCTAGGAGATGCGATAATTCAACAGTAAGCAAAGATACTGATTGCAGGACTTGGGCAGGATCAGCTCTTCAGAAAGTAGGCAAATCAAGTAGGCAATCTGATGCTCCAGTGAGGAGTTAAGGATTTCTAAAATTAGCTTCCCACTCCAGCTTTGGGGAGACTCTTGTCCTAACTTGGTATTAATATTCCTAGGATGGATAAAGAATTGCCAGGGAAGTACACTGGTGTCCAGCCTCCGGAGCACCCCTGTACACAGATTTTCAACAAAGGGACAGTGGTTCAGCTGGGTGAGGCAGTCACTCGGCTGGGTGTGCCTGTCCAGGCTTGTTCTTCAGGGCCACCAGCAGAGGGAGCTGCACACCCAGCCAATGGATGCAAACTAACAGCTAGCATGTGGAAACAGGTGGAAATGCTGAATCACCCAGCTGAGTAAGGCTACAAAGACCTCACCTGTCTATCATTTCTTGATCTGACTCCTTTTCTGTATTCCCCACTGGACTGTCAGCTCTGACTGTGTCTTATTGACCTTCTGTCTGCACAGTCTCCCACAGTGTCCAACACACAGTAAGTGCTTGGCAATATTATATATTGATGCTGTTTTGGGCATCTGACAAACGAATATTCACCAGGCTGGCCAAACGTTGGCCAGCTAGTATTTTCCGGACCAACGAGACACTGTATTTGATGTTCCTTCCCTTACAGAGATCCCTGTATTTGGTCCTGAAAAAACCCATCCTCCATCTCCCCCAAGTGCCTGGCAACCCCCAACCAGGGGTGAGCTTGAGAGTCCCTAGGCCCAGACAGCGGGATGAGAGACTCACGCTCCACTGGGAACAAGGGGCTGGAACTTCCACTGCTCCTCCTCGCAGTCTAGGAAAAGCCGGTTCATGATCTTGTTCTTCTCCTCTGGGGGGATGAAGTTCTCGATGATCAGGTACCTGGGAGCAGGAATGAGGTAGAGATGGGGGTTTGGGGAGTGAGACCACACAGTGTAGGTGAAGGTTGCAAGAGGAGCAGCAAGACACAAAGAGGCAGAGGGAACAGAGAAAATGGAAAAAACAAAAAGTCGGGGGGAGGGGGTCCCTAGAGAAACAATAGAGCCTGGAAATCACAGTTTCTCATGCAAAGATCATAGACTCAAGGCCTTAGGAGTTACCTCTGGCCAACACCCAACATGCCCTTTACAAGGTTCATCTAATGCAGGCAGAGGACAGGAAGGAGAAAACAGGAGGTAGAAGATACTCCAATGGGTCCCTCCCCCATCCCCCAGACACGTTCCATTCCTCTGGGTCATGGACATGGGTGAGGAGACAGAACTGAAGCCTTCGGCAAAGAGAGGAGCCTATCAGGGAGAGGCCCGGAGCCTGAGATGGCTGTGCGGGCCCCAGCTGGGAAGAGAAGGGGCCCTACTTGAGCTTGAGTTCCCGGGTCTGCTCATTCTGCGCCTCCTCCAGGTCCTGCCGCACGCGGATGTACTCATCATGCTGGTCCTGGATCTCCGCCTTCACCGCCTGCAGCTTGGCGTAGAGCTGGCGAGGGAAAGTGCAGCTCAGAGGCGGTACGGAGTGGCACCCAACGAGGCTCGACTCCCCCAGCTCAGTCCAGGATGAGGCCAGGGTCCCCGTGTGAATGTCCCTCCATCCATCGGATCGGGTTATTCCAAGGGCTGCCCAGCCCTCCTACGCTGTGACCTGTCAGCCTGCTCACTCTCAGCTGCTGTCCACATCGTGCAATGCTCAAGTTTGATGGGACCCGGGGAACCTTCTGGTCCAACATCCTCTTTTTACAGACGAGGAAACTCAGGCACAGGTTTGCTCAAGGTCACACAAGGTGAAGAAGAGCCTGATTCAGGACCCGAGTATCAGGACTACTGGTCCGGGGCTCAGAGAGCCTCAGCCAGGTGGAAGGTGGCCCATCCCACTCCAGCCTCTCCAGTGGCCCTCAAAAGGAGGGGTGTGGGGAGGGCAGTCCTGATCCCCCTGTCCGTCCCACTCCTAACACACCATGAGGTGTGGAAACTGCCGCTGGAGCTGGGCCTCTTGCAGGGCCTGCTCTGGCGCCGCCACCTCAGCAAACTAAGGGCTTTCCAGGCTCTTCCAGAATCCAGGCTGGAATCTGCGGCTTCCTGCCCTAGGCCCTCAGCTCATGCACATGCCATTCCCTGGCCATGGACCTCACAGGGTCCTGGTGGCTGATACTCTCATCTCTGGAGGGCCTTGTGCTTCCTCTCTGAGCTCTCCCGGGCTCAAGTCTCCACTCCCCTGGCCTGCTCAGTGCCTGACTATCCAAACGGTGACTCACTGGTGACACCACAGTAAAGGGGGAAGTGACCCAGGAGCACGAGGGTGGCAACCCTGCAGAGCAGAAGTGAAGGCGTTCCCAGCCTCTCAAGCCCCTCCTGAAGCAAGAGAAAAGGTTCTATTCCACCCAGACCCCTGCATCCCCTGGCTCCTCACCCCAGCACCCAGGCAACGTAACTCAAGGGGTCAGAGGTTCAAGCAAAGTGGGGAGGGGTCGCTAAAGTAAACCGCCCTTGGGCAGGTGACTGCCAGGCCCTCACACACCCGGACCCGGGGTCCTGCTGTGGCAACTTACCTTCTTGAGTTTCTTGGTTTTGACCTCCACCTCCTGCTGCAGGGACGTGTAGGTGCCCCGTAGCTCCATGGTCTCCTCGTCCCGGAGCATCATCTCTTGCTGCATTTCCCGCTCACGGCGTTTCTAGGCCGGGGCAGGGGACAGGGGCTCAGAGGAGCAGCACATACTTGGAAGGCCCAAGGGAGCTCTGCCTGTCATGGAACCTGGCTCCGTCGTGGCCACAGGAGCCAGGAGGGCACAGAGAGTGTCTCACAGCCCACATCCATCGCTCCCACCCCATCCTTAGTGGAGGCCTATGTGAACCTTCTCAGCTCACAGGGCCACGCTTTTGCAGGCACTGCCCACGTGGAAGGAGACCCTGCCCCTAACCGCTGGAGCCTTCCAGGGGTGGCGACCACACCCACTGATGCCCAGGTACTGGCTTTTCAGCTGTCTCAGCCTCTCCTGTGTAGTATCACAGCTGATGGGTAAGACCAACAAACTGTGGTTCTGTAGAGGGTGCCCTGTAGAGGGTGACATCTTGGAGAGCCAGCACCTGGGCGGGTGCCCATGGGATGCAGAGCGTTAGGTTCTCAGCCCTGTAATTCCAGGGACCCTGATATGATGACTCACTGCCCTTAGCCCCCCAACCTGACCTCAAGGCCATGCACCCCCCCAGGGATCTAGAGCCCCCAGTCCCACCTGCTCAGCAATCTCCTGCCTCTTTAGTTCGAGCATCTTCTGCTGCTCGTTGGTGTGGTCCATGATGTTCCTGCCTCCAATGAGCAGCTTGCTCTCCATGGCCTGGGGACAAAGAGGGGTGAAGAGATGGGTTTTCCAGGGGCCAGAGTAGCCCCAACTTGAGAGGTTTGGCTTCCCTGCCCTTCCAGGAAGGAACAGAAGATGTGTCCCAGATGGGGGCTCATGACCCTCACCAAGAAGGAAGTTTTCCTCTCCAGCCTCATGGGCCCCAGCACAAGGCTCCCATTGTCAGCAAGACCATTAGATGATACAAGGCAGGAAGCCCTCAGAGAATACAGGGCACCTGATCTGTTTGCTTTGGATACGGATGGAAGGCTGGTTCACCATGCCTGGGGAAGGGAATGCGGGCGGCGATCTAATCCTGGCAACCAGGACCAGCTGGTGTTCAGGAGGCGGGGAGATGCAGGATACAGTCCCTGAGCAGCCTGGCCCTTTAGCTAACTGGCTCCTGACTCAGGAAAGGGGCTCTCATTCAGGCAGCAGGAAGGGGTCTGCTCTTCAACTGGAAAACAGAAGAAAAGTCATAGGGAGAAGACGCCGCAGCACTGAAGGGCTTTTGGAGATGGCCAGAAAGACTTGAGCTCCACCCACTCACTGCAAGGTCTCAGACCAATTACTCTTCATCTCTCACATCTGTAGCCCTGGGGCCGCCCCTGCTCTCAGATAGCCAGCAGACATCCGCTGAGCCATTACGGGCCAGGTGCCTCCAACTTTACCCCTAGAGAGACCTCAATCAACAAGGAAGGAAGCTAAGAGCAACTGGCCTCAGGTCATGCAGCTGGTTAACAAAGAGGTGAACCAGTCTCCCCGCTGAGCCCTGTGCCATGCGCAGCCCCTCACCTGGTGCTTGGCACAGACATTGTGTAGGTGCTTATTGAATCTGAAGCTTAAAGAATAACAGCCACAGATAAACTGTGCCAGTTGTGACTACCTAAAACGCATTTTCACTGTTGCTAGTCTGAGGGTGCTGCCCAGCTGTCCTCTGATTTCATCCCAGGCCTCCTGGAAGGTTGAAATCACCTTGAGCCACCAAAAGAAACTGGCTGCCTCCCCACTGGAATTTTTTTCCAGTGGAAGTTGCTGACCGACTGAGGGCTCTCAAAGCAGGGAGTGCTGGCAGAAAAGGGGGGCAGGGGGTCCCTGTGTCCCATACATCGTGGATGACAGAGCAGGACAGGAGTTGAAGGTGGCTTTTGGAGGTGGTCAGAGGTAGGGCTTCTCCCAAACCAGATACTCTAGAGAAGACTCAAGTGAGGAAGGCACAGGGCCACAGCTGATGCCCTGCTTTTTTCTACCTTATTTAAAGACTGGGGATGAGGGTGGAGAGAGAAGCAAAGGGCAAGGAATCAAGAGGAAGAAAACAATTTTTTTCTCTGCACCTGCTATGTGCCAGGTGTCTCACACTTATTTCTGCTAACAACCCTTTAAGCAGTGGATCTCAGATTTTGGTGTACATTAGAATCACCTGGGGAGCTTTTAAAAGGCTCAATAACCAGCCTACACCCTGAAAGTGTTAGTCGCTCAGTCATATCCAACTAACTCTTTGTGACCCTGTGGACTGTAGCCCTCCAGGCTCTTCTGTCCACGGAATTCTCCAGGCAAGAATACTGGAGTGAGTTGCCATTGCCTACTTCAGGGGATCTTCCCAACTCAGTGATCAAACCTGGGTCTCCTGCATTGCAGGCAGTTTCTTTACAGTCTGAGCCACCAGGGGAATCCAAGACTATACCCTACCACCAGTTAAACTGGAAATGGAAGTGGGTAGGGAGGTGGTGAGGTCCAGGCATCGGTGGATTTTAAAGGTTCCCAGGGGATTTTGGGGTGCAATCAAATTGGAGAATCACTGCTTTCTGCAGTCCCCAGAACCAGCATTATCTGAAAACTTGTTAGAAATGCAGAATCTCCGGCCCTCCACAGGCCTAGTGAATCAGCATCTGAGACCCCATCCAGTAACTTGTGTGACATGCTTTAGGGACAAACTCAGGGAGGTTAAGTAATCCATCCAAGGTCACACCATGGCTGTTGCATATAAATGGAGACTCCAGAACCAAGTCTGCTTGATTCCCAAGCCCAGGCTCTTCCTACCGCAGACACTGTCAGTGTTTTAGGAAGCAGAACCTGCTAAAAAAAAAAAAAAAAAAGCAGCATTTTCCAGCAAGAGGAATCATGTCTGACTACTCTCCAAGAGTTCCCTCAGGGACAGAATAGATTATTCCAGTCCACGAGGAAGCCGATGGCCAGAACTTAAGAGGTTAAAATGCTCCTGGCAGGGTCCTACATCAGAGGTTACTCTATGGGGGAGGGGAGAGGGAACAGAGAAAGGGGAGCAGAAGGAGGGGAAGAAAACAAACAGGCATCTCTCCAGATGGAAAAATGTTCAAATGTCAGAAATCATGCAAGAAAGGGTGCACAGGGTGAAATTCCAACTTCACAGATGCCCCCAAATCCCTGCAGGTGGGAAAGAGCAGGAGAATTTCTAGGCCATGTGAACGGACCAAAAAATGGCAGATGAGCTTCAGTTAGTTTTACATTGGGGAAAAAAGTAATCCTAAATCTTCATTAAATGATAGCTGTGAGCAGTCAGTTATAAACCACAAAAAGAGGAAAAGCAAGGAGTAATTCTCTATGGTTCCCAGAAGATATTGGCTTAATATGCTGCCACAGCTAAAAAAGCCAATAGTATCTGGCCAGGTACCATCACCAACGCTTTTTTGGGAACAAAACAAAAATCATTCTACCCTAATATAAAATCATGATGCAGCTGAATCTGGAGTACTGTGTATAGTTCTCTCACTGCATCTCTGGGGACTTGAAGGAGAGAGAAGATTCAGAAAAGGGCGGCTAAAACCATCCAAGGGTTTAAAAAAAAAATAGGACTCTTTAGTTGGCAAAGACAAAGAAAGGTTAAGAGAATGGACCTGGAAACTATACCATCAAAAGGTGTGAAAAGGAAAGATCGAGGCTTTTCTAATCAACCTCTAGTAGGGAGAATAAAAGCTTATACCATGAATTTTTAGGGCAAAGGGAAATTCTTCTCTACAGAAGGTAATAAATTTATGGAATGTGATTATCTCAGGAGTACTGGATTGAATAACTCACAGTTCATCAAGGGATTCTGGGGACATATTTTTAACCTTTTATTGTCTTTCTCTGCTTTCTGAAAAAAATTTCACTAATGTCAAAATAAGCACAGAAATAAAACAAACTGGAAAAAAAAATTCACATATTCCTCATCATAGCTAATTAGCTTTTTACCCCAGATTTTTCCATATGCACACATCATTTTTTCATATCTATAGATATGGGATAAATATAAGTTTGCTGCTGCTGCTTCTAAGTCGTTTCAGTCATGTCCAACTCTGTGCGACCCCACAGCTGGCAGCCCACCAGGCTCCTCTGTCCCTGGGATTCTCCAGGCAAGAATACTGGAGTGGGTTGCCATTTCCTTCTCCGAAATATAAGTTTATATCCTGCTATTAAATAGCTCAAGAATTTCCTGAACTAACACAACATTGTAAATCAACTATTCTCCAACAAAAATTTAAAAACAAAAGAATTTTCTGTTACTTTAATGATTGCATAATATTTGAGCTTCCCTGGTGGCTCAGATGGTAAAGAATTCACTTGCAAAGCAGGAGATTTGGGTTCAATACCTGGGTCAGAAAGATCCTCTGAAAAAGGGAATGGCTACCTACTCCAGTATTCTTGCCTAGAGAATTCCATGGACAGAGGAGTCATAATATTTAGAGTGGATAATTTATAAAATAAACCCCATTATAAGAAATTTTGTTTGGTTGGTTAATATTTACAATAAACACTCTTATGCATATAATTTTTTTGGACATGCTGCTCGGCTTATAGGCTTTTAGTTCCCAGACCAGGGGTTGAACCTGGGTCACAGCAGTGACAGCGTGGGGTCCTAATCACTGGACTGCCAGAAAATTCCCAATTTTTTTATCTTTTAGATGATTTTCTTAGAAGGAAATTACAGAAGTGGACAAAAAATTATAAACATTCTGTATATCTTAGAACATACTGTCAAGTTACCTTTCTAAAAGTTTTACCACTTAAAACCACTGCCAGCAATAAGTAATGGAACAGTTTTATTACAGTCACAGTCATGAAGTATTATCATGATCTTAAATTTGGCTTAATAATAGATACACAATTGAGTCTCCTATTTATATTCTCTGTACCTCTGCGGCAGGCTTGCAAAGGTTTGCTCTCTCCTTTGCCAACATGCTCTTTTATGCTTGCTTTTTTGTGTTTTGGTGATTTTAAAGTGAGGAGATGGACCTGACTCAAAATAATTCTTTGTTTATTCAGCCCCCACCTTCTCTGGCTACCCACACCCAGCTCAAGAAGCCCAGCTGGACACAGGCAGGCTTTAGGCTGCCACTCAGGCCTGGAATCTGATGCATCAGTCAAAGCTACCAGGGTTGCGAAGTCCCGAGGCTCCTCCCACTGCCACCCCCATGCCATGGTTCCCAGGATTGGTTTCTGTCCTGGTTCTTGCTCATCAGACTTCATGTTAGGCCTCCTCCTTGGACTCGGAACTCTGTTTCAGGGTTTCTCCTTCTGGCCAGGGCCTGGGCTCCAGGAAGAGAATTTCTGGGAGATGACTGACTGCCCTTATCACCTCATTCCATTCGTCCACTGCTCCTACACGTCTCTGCCTGACCCGCCAGGACCCAGCACAGACATGGTCTGAATGACAGCCTTATTGGTTTCTTGCCAAGTCTTGTCCACTGGCCCAGCCTACACTGTCAGTCAAGCCAGCCTGATAGAACCTGTCTTGTGCTAGAAAAGGGGGCTGGTCCTGGCACAAAAATCTGGGGGTGCGCCCCAATTCAGGTGCAGAGTCTGAGCTCCCCCTTCTCCCCAGCCTCAGTCCATTACTGCCTGCATCACCCCCAAGCTCTGAGACATGTCATATGTGACTTCGGTTCTTTGCTTCGAAACAGTTTTCTGGTGGTTTTTTCTTTTCTGCTTTTCTCAGTTCTCTGAGGATACCAGTAGCCATCTCCTCCTTTTCCTCAGAG